GAGTGCTCGATACCCACCTTGCCCTGCTCTCCTGGAGCCCGGGGAGTACCTGTGTAACTGCATTCCTCGTAGCGGTTACTGCTGGTGCATGGAACCGCTTTCTTTATTTTATCCATAAATTCACTTCCTAATAACAATAAGGCATGCCAGGGCTTTGGCCTCATGCCTTATTACACCACCTGAGGAGTGAGATAATCACCCAGAAATGTACTGCCTGTTGTGCATTTTATTACTTGAATACAAAGCGATTCAATTCAAGAAACACTTAGTTGAAGACAGCATGAAAAAAATAATAATCATATGAAAAGTAATTCCTCCTAATGCCACGGAGTACACTGCGGGGACTAATTCTCCTCCAGCGGGAGAAGGGTCCGGATGACCTGTTGGGTCTCCTCCAGTTCGGATTTCTACCAATTTCAGGATCATAAAGGCTGGTGAGACTTCAATTACAACAGGACTATTCCAAAGCACCAAATCTGGTGGCTCTGAACGACTGTTTGACGCTCAACCTACACAATCGCACGCATTTCCCAAGCAACCATTCTCTCGATGACTCGTTCTGCAGCAAACGCTGCAGGCCCCCAGCCTCGGCTGTCCATCTGCCTGGGATTTTAAGGGAAATGGCGGTACATTTTCAAGTACAAGATGGAGGCAGCCCCTAGCCCAGTGACAGGTACAGCATGCAGAAACTCTGTGCTGCTGTACAGGACATCCTGTCTGCCCAGAGTTCACAAGAGGGTGGACCAATTCACCCTACCTCGGGGCTGGATGAAGACTTTGCCCAAGAAATGCTTCCGTGAGTTCATCTGAAGGGAGGAAGAGCAATTCCATTTGTAGAGTCCTCAAGCAGAAATAATATGCTCCCCTCCCCACCGTTGGTATTGGTATTAACACCATTATTTTTCAACACATCGATTTTCCTTTTTTTTTTTTTTTTTTTTGCTATACAGCGCGTGCGCTCGCCAGACAGACAGAGAGAGACAGAGATAGAAAGTGAGAAATCACCCTCCAGGGGGGATGGCCATGCTGCAATCCCTTCTCCTCCATTCTCCTCTTGGGATCTTGGGCACGCATGCACACGCACCCGGCGTGAATTTAAGCCACCAGGTCTGGGATGCGAACCGCGGTCGACTACGTGGGAGTCCAGCAACATAGCCATTACGCTAACTGCTGGTCCCTCGATTTTCCATTTTTAAAGATTAATTTTGAAAAGGGTGTTCAGTCAGGCATGGTGCTTCCAAACAGTGGTCCTCAAAGTGTGGGCCCTGAACCAAGAATCGCACCACCCAGGACCTTTACAGAAATGCACATTCCCAGGCCCCTACCAGGGGGTTGAATCCAAAACTCTGGGATGGGGCCCAGCCACGTGTTCTAACAAACTGAGACCTCAGGTTTAGAAGAAACTGAAGCTGACTAGTAAGGACAAGTGCACAGTTTCTTTGTTTTTATTTTTATCTTTTAAAGAGGATCACAAAAAACGTCCCCTGTTTATATTGAAATAAAGTTAAAAGTCAGCAGATACCACACTGAGGTGATTCTAAGTTCAACTAGCAATAATCGAGCACCTATTTGGCTGACCAGTAGGTGTCATCTCATTTAAGCATCAAGTTTGTGACAACTTCATGTGTTAGATACCACTGTTCATATTTTCAGAGGTGGGAAATTAAATGCTTGAGGAAAAAAGCCAGACTTTCTTAGTAACAGCATGGCTAAGACCCGAACTCTCCTGAATTTTACGCTAGACTTTGAGCCCAAGTATGCCAAGGGATGTGTGTGCATTTGCACACATGCATATGAGTGATTTGTGTATATTCTTCTATAAACAGATAAGAATAAGGTTTGCATATGCTTGGCAGGATAATAAGAAAATCTACGTATCAATCGACAAGATCCCTTGAGTTTGCAAACCAGTCTAACGACTCTGTGACCTACTCAAGAGAACATGCAGAAAGTTAAGTGAGTCATCTACATCAGCTTCTTTTTCCAACTATTAGTAGCCCGGGGTTCGTGCCACCACCAGTAGAAGCCCTGCTGCCCCACCCATCCCAGTCTCACACTGCCCTAATACCTTAGACAGACCCCACTGGTGACCCCTCGTCTACTGCCCTAAACTAAACACAGGGATTATAAGAATGCAAGCTGATTTACAAATACATTCCAAATGATAGGCTAAAGCAATTTAGCTGCTCATCTCAATTCAACTCAGTGGAGAACACCATGATCACAGACTGGTCTGCCTCCATGAGGCCATACCACTGTCGTGCCTGCCTCCGCCCAGGGTCTCCCCAGTTCTGCACAGCCCCTCACCTCCTCCCAAACCTCATCTTACCCAACACCTTCCTCTCAGCATAAGCCCACGTCTACTTGCACACTCCAAGGGAGACACGCCCACAAAGCCAGCCGCCTCATTGGAAACAGCCAACCTCGCAGCTTCAGCTATTCAAATGGAGCGGGATAGCCCTGTTAGAAGCGGTAATCAGAATATGTATGTGCTTAGGACACTGTTCAGAAAAAAGGACAGTGAGACAAATGCTAGGAATACGACAATGTAGAGTGTACTTTCCCATGGGAACAGGGTCTAGAAGATAAAACAAAAATTGCTACAATGCCACGGCAGAGATGCTCTTTTTCACGTCAAATATCCTTTCAAAAATGTGCAGTAGCATGTTATATGTAACGTGCCTCCCAGAGCCTCCAGACGGAACATGACCCGGCTCCTGCCCCCTCTTCCTTCTCAAGCTTTCCTGGCTCCCTGGGTCCCTCTGGTCCGCTCCTCCCTGCTCAGTGCAGGAAGGCCACCTGCCTGGGGGGTCTTCCTGGCCCTCCCGCCCTGCACTTACCACAGTGTGTAAGGACATAGTTACCTGGAGGAGTAAAAACCACATTATCAGCTCCAGGAAATAAACATGGCTTTACACCACTGTACATGCCCGCACCCGAGCACCGAGCACCCAACGGGAGGTCCAAAATACTGACACATGAGTGAGCTTCACTCCCTTGACACACACCGTGCACACTCACCAACACACACCATGTGCTACCCACTTGTGCACACTCACCATCCACACCACACACCTACCACACGCTGTTCACCCAGGCATACCCCCCACATACGACACACATACACATCACACAGCTGTGTGTACTCACCACATACCACGCACCCTCCACACACACGGCACATCTACCCTCACCACACACCTGCACACCTATACGGACATGCCATACCATACCACACACCACACGCACCCCACCACTCACCATACATACTCACCACATTAGCACCACGTCACACAAGCACACCGTGTGTCCTTCCACACCACGCAAGCACACCGCGTGTCCTTCCACGCCATGCAAGCACACCACATGTCCTTCCAGTCCTAACCTTCAGGACAATCCCTCTCTCCATCCACGGCAGAAGATCCCACACCACCCATGACTCCTCACTCATCCCCTCCCCTGAGAACAGCGGCTGGCATCAGTAAAGTCTGTTTAGTGGACACTCACGACCCTTCTGACTACTCGGTGTCCACCCTCCTTGTTAGACTGTTGATGTCAAGAGAGCAGGGACCATGGCCAACTGCATGCCCAGCACATCATCCACCCCGCAAAACATAAAGAATGCTGAGTTGAGCTGAACGGGCCGAAGGTGTTTCTGTGATCATTTGCATCAGCATGAATGCCTCGCTGCCCCAGAATGCAGCCCCTAAAGAAAGTGCTGACACCGGTTGTAATCTGCTTTCTCTAGTGTGGACATCAAGGTTTAATTTCAGAAGCCATCTCAGATAGTCACTATTACCTAGTGACTATTTTCAGGTCACTTCCACACCTCCTGTGGTGACAGATACACAGATATGGCACCGGGAAAAAACAAGTGTGTCAGAAAAACTGACCCAGGTCTGCTGTCAAATAGCTGTTTCCGAACCAGCAGTTAGCATAATGGCTATGTCGCTGGACTCCCGTGTAGTCAACCACGGTTCCCGTACCCGGTGGCTTAAACTCACGCCGGGTTCGTGTGCGTGCGTGCCCAAGATCCCGAGAGGAGAATGGAGGAGAAGGGATTACGGCGTCGCCATCCCCCCTGTGGGGTGATTTCTCCCTTTCTTTCTCTGTCTCTCTCTGTCTTTCTGGAGAGTCCACGTGCAGTATAGCAAAAACCTCTCAAAAAAAAAAAGTATCTGTTCCCATCTCAACTGCCCCACTCGCAGCCTGCTACAAGGGGAGCTCTGGAAACAATTGTGCTCTTTCCTGGCTCCCACAGCGGAGACAGGGTGTTAAGACACCCTACGCACAGTCGAGCAGAGTCCTGGCAAGTCCTCAGATCCAGCAATGGACAGTATGCAGCGTCCCAGCTTCAGGGGCAGGAGCTCAAAGTTTAGCTGCTGCTGCCACCTATAGTCGGAAACGTGCACCTACTGACAAGAAACCAGAGTCAGCCCTGGAGCCCCTGCAGGAGTGTAGTTACCTAACATTTTACATGGCCCCAAAGTAAGGTCATTTGATGCTAAAATATGTAAGCCACTTCTTGTGATATGGTAAGTATTGAGAGTTCCTCTGGCCAGCCTATGGCCTAGTAGTTAAGAAAGCTAGATCTCACGTGGACAGCCCCACAGGTTCAAGACGTGGATCCAGTGGATTAAAAAACACACCAGGAGTGTGCGCATATACGTCCCAAATCCTGACGGGATGGGGAGGGGGGACTGTGGCATGACTATGCCCCTTGGGGGGGTGCCTTCTCCCTCTCTCCGTCTCACTGTCTCTTGCAAGCACATACCTCTCTGGCTTATAAACAAAACAAAGAGAGTTCCTAGACAATTTTGACCCAAAAGTCAGCGTTTAATAAATGATTGTTGCGTGAATGACTGACACAATCCAGAAGGAAACAATGAAAGTAACATTACCGGTGTTTACAGCACCGTTCTCGGACACAGACGGCAGCCCCACTGCATCCCTGCGCCAGAGCCGCACAGGGAGCGCAGGTGTTCTGAGCAGAGGCTCACCTGGCATTGGTGCTGCCCGACTTGGTGCTGTTGACTGGGGCAGCATTTGTTTTGGTAGTATTTCGCTTCATTTTCTTCAAGATCAAATATTTCTGAATCTGAGAATTCTGAAAAATAAGAGAGCAACAGGGTTAGCACAGATTGGCGGGCAGATTCTCTTACTTAGTTTGAAAAGCCACAGAGTGGAGCCTGTAGGCTTGTAAAACCCTGAGCCCAGTTTGCAAGCTCTGGAGAATGTGTAGACATCCTTTAGGCAAGTCCTCTCTGTGAATTTCACACTGACTGTGGGATGCCCAGGTGGAGGTATCGTCTGCGAACTTTACATAAGCACCAGTCCTCTTCCTGTGTCTCAGTCGCGCGCACACACACACACACACACACACACACACACACACACACCCCTGCTATGGTCCCATTTGCATCACTCCAACCAGAACGCTCACTTCGAAACACTGACCGCTCGTGTTACTTCCTTGCCTCAAACGCTCCTGCGTTCTCTGCAGCCTTGGCAGCATCAGTGCTTGCCTGTCCCCAGCGGCCTCCCTCCCTGGACCCAGGCTCTGGCGGCCCTCACTGGGCTTTTGCCCGTGCCCAGCCTCTCCTCTTTCCGTACACTGCACGCTCCACCTAGGCCTTCCCTCTTCTCCCCACTCCACCTAGTGAACTCCTTGCCAGAACGGACTGTGCTTCTCAAACCAGAGTGTACATCCAAAGCACCTGGAGGGCTTATTAGAAATGGACTGCTGGGCTCCAGCTCTCCGTTCCAGTTCCAGTTCTGGTGGCAGTAGGGTGTGAGATTCTGCAAGGCTGACAAGTTCCCAGGGCACGCCAAGCTGCTAGCCCAGACCCCACACTTTGAGAACCATTTTAGATCTCAGTTCAAACCTCGCTACCTCCAGAAGCCTTCCTCGACATCCCTACTGGGTGGTCCTCCCACCGTCATGTACCTTCGTGACAGCCTCCACTGTCCTCCACAGGCCTCGGTCCCGTTTCTAATGACACATCTGCTGGTGTGAGTCTTTGATTAAGGCTGTCTCCCACTAGACGTGAAGTTCCACAAAGCCTAGAGCCAGGTTAACTTCTCTCTACATCCCCAAATCCTAGGCCAGTGACTGGTTTCCAGAGGTGTCCAAATGACTGACTGACTGAATCCGTCTCCCCCCTGAAGTCTGGCAGCACTGGTGGAAAACCTGCCCAAGCCCTCCCTCAAGCTCTCATTCTAATCAGTCGGCACATCCCGCACATGTTACCTGGAGGGCACTGTGCCTCTCTGCGTCTCTGAGGTCACTCATCTTCCCGCATCCCTCAAATCGCTTCCAGGTCTCCGGCTTCTCCCTCTGACCCTTCCCGCCCCTATTGCCAGGCTTTGCCTTTCTAAAGCACAGAGTTACGTCACTCCCTCCCTTAAAATGCATACTGCAAAATTACATGTGTTAAATTTTCACAGGGACTATACACCCCGGAAAAAGACGAGTGTACATAAAAAGTGGAGACATCTGAATAAAGTGTTCGATTCAGCTAATACTAAGTTCCACTGCCACTGTGCCAGTGTCAACCTCCCAGTTCTGGCCACTGTACCATGGCTGTTCGGTAAGATGTCATCTCTGGGGGAAGTGGGAGTTCACACGAACTCTTCTAATCTTGCACTTTTTTTTTTTTTTTTGGTAGAGGCTTTTGCTATAGGGTGCATGCACTCACCAGAAAGACAGAGAGACAGAAAGCGAGAAATCATCCCCCAGGGGGATGGCCACGCCACAATCCCTTCTCCTCCATTCTCCTCTTGGGATCTTGAGCATGTACACACATGAGCCTGGCATGAGTTTTAAGCCACCGGGTCCAGGACTCACACTGTAGTCAACTACATGGGAGTCCAGCGACATAGCCATTATGCCAACTGCTGGTCCCATTTTGCAGTTTTTATGTAAATCTAAAATTATTTCAAAGTGAAAAGTTTTTAGAAAAACATGCAATATTTTCCAGTGCACACAAACTGCGATTCCGACTCCTAATTATGAGATGGCTCATTCACATCACTAATGACCTGGCCCTGGTGATGCCCCTGCTTCCATAATTCCCTAAGTGCTATATTTTTACACGGTGTTCCCAGTGGGCCATATAGATCCTCACTCCTGAGTTTTAGGTCATGCTCTGCCAGAATTCCCTTCATCCTGTCCTGCCTGGCACACTTTAATTTGCCTTTCAAGTTGAAGCTGTAGGCCCTCCCTCCCTCCATGAGTCCTTCCTGTAATTAAACATGGCCATGCCTTTACAGAGAACTTAGTCCTATAGGTTTGCTTGCTGTTTTATTTAATAAGAAAAAGACAAAAGATGAAAGGCACTTGTAACTCCGTCACTTTGTGGAGGGTCTGGGAGAAGGAGTGACAGAGTCTGAGATGAAAGTATGACCACCTCCCTGTGCACTCTCAGGTCCCGTCTCAGTTTTCACTCTGATTCTCTGCTTCCAAACTTGCCTATGGGCCTTTGCTAGGCAGTGAGCCCCTCCAGTGGAGGGGAATCCTCCATCATGACCTGGCACACAGTAGGGCCTCCATTCTTATCTGTTCTTGTTGGACCACAGTTATCAACACCTAATTTTTCAAGGGCAAAAAGCTTGGGCTGGGGCCAGCTGGTGGTGTCATGGTTAAGGCAGCTGGATCTCACATGACTGACATTGAGGTTCAAGTCCCAAGAAGAGAAGTGATTGTGGTGTAGCCATCCCCCTTAGGGGGTGCTTTCTCACTGTTCCCTGTCTCTCTGGCAAGTCCACGCATCCTATAGCAAATTAAAAAATAAAAATAGGGACCAGCAGTTAGAGTAACGGCTATGTCGCTGGACTCCCACGTAGTTGACCACAGTTCGCGTCCCGGATGCGGTGGCTTAAAACTTACGCCGGGTGCGTGTGCATGCGTGCCCAAGATCCTGAGAGGAGAATGGAGGAGAAGGGATTGCGGCATGGCCATCCCCCCTGGGGGGGGGGATTTCTCGCTTTCTGTCTCTCTGTCTTTGTCTATCTGGCAAGCGCACGTGCCCTATAGCAAAAACCTCTCCAAAAAAAATTTTTTTAAAATTAAAAATAAAAATAAAAAATAAATTTTAAAAAAAGGTCTGGGCTACTTAGACTCTTGATTTTAAAGCCAAACACTGTACTGACTATGACCAAGGCACTGTGATGAGTTCTGTAACTCATCTCCGACTTTTACACCATCCACAGTTTAGATTTTTCAAAATAAAGAGAATTCTGAGACATTAATAAATGTGTTTACTTCAGAACTTGGCGAGGTAGAAATTAGCACAGATTATTAAATCAATACTCTCAAACAAGATCCCAGTCCAGCCCATCAAATATACTTCTTCACCACAGGCAAAAACACAATTAGAAGACGATTTCACTGATATATCTATTTATCTGCCAAAGAAGTATTGATGTCCAGTTTTTAACAGATGATATTTATATCAGAATCACAACAAAAGTGCCATCCATCTGCCTTGGCATCTAGAGAAAACATAATTCAACACAGAGTAAAAATTGTGCACAGCCAAACAGAAATGGCACCAGAAGCAAAAATTGTTGGAGCTGGTATCGTGGGGCAGTGGGGGGTGGGATTATCGCTTGACTAAATTAGAAAAAAATTATAAGCAACACAAAAGATTCTGGCAGTTAAATCCAAATACTTGATAAAAATCTTCTTGTCTGTTCTGACAGTAAATGGATGTTCTGTTATATTTGGAGACATAGAAAGTCCCTTTGATGGCCCGCCACACACTTCTGTCCATACCGCACTCGTTTCCTGAGCACCTGCACTGTCAAACGATGGAGAAAACAAAGGGTTTGGAATCAAGCAGGCCTGGGGTCAACTTAACCCCACTGTCTGCTGTGTGAGCTTTCAAGTTAATCAACCTCCTCTGGGCCCAGTTTCTCATTTGTAAAATAGAAACAATTTCTCTCCTTAAAGCAAGTTTTCTTAATCTGGAATCTAGGGACAAGGTCCACGTGTGTGCTTCTGTGTGTCTACAAACTCTCCGAGAATAAATGGAAAACTGCGTGTGAGATTTTTGAGAGCTTCTCAAGGAGCAAATGATCCCCAAACAGTAATGACTACTGTTCTGAAGGCCGAGGAAGGATCGCGGGTAATGCTCCTAAAGCACGTGGTGCACAGGTGGATTCGACAGCGAGTATTTTCAGGTCTGGAGGCTATTCAGAAAGATAAATTGGAGTAAAGGGCAGAAAGCAGGTTGACAGTTACCATGTGAGGTGCTGTGTGTCATCTCAGGGTATAAGAAAGGACAGTAAGGGAGGACAACCCAAAAATCAGTCCAGAAACATCCCAATGGGAGCAAGTGACAAGGCAGGGGCACAAGAGTGCCAAGGCAGCGAGACCACCAAGGCAGCGAGACCGCCAAGGCTGTGGTATATTCAATGCCTAGACAGGATTGGCACATGGCAGGTGCTCAAGAACAACTGCTGAGTCAATGAGCAAACAAATGACTGAAACCAGCCCTGGGAGCAGGATACCACCATTCACAAAGTCCCATAGGAAAAGGACAAGTTCTGAAAGTGTTAACCGTTACTATTCAGAAAGCTTAAATTCAATTTAATTTTGAATATTCAATTCAAATGCAATAGCCTACACTCTCTCCCTGCATAGTGAGGACAACGGTAATAGTAATTAATAGTAAACCAGGTCCTTTCTAGCCTCTGTGATGAACTCTAGGAGAAATTTTTTGGATTCAGGTATTAGAAAAGCTTTCTTGGTATAAGGTATAATGGTTACATTGCTGGTCTCCCATGTAGTGACCGTGGTTCAAGTCCTGGACCCAGTGGCTTAAAACTCACACCAGGCATGTGTGCCTGTGTTCCTGAGATCTCAAGAGGAGAATGGAGGGGAAGGGACTGAAGTGTGGCCACCCCCCCAGGGGTGATTTCTCACTTTCTGTCACTCCAGTAAGTCCATGTACCCTATAGTAAAAACCTCTCTCTCAAAACAAACAAACAAACAAAAAACGCCTGCTTTCTTGGCTTAAGTGTGGTGGCATAGTGGTAGTGCCAAGCTCTGTGCTGCGGGAGGTCATAGACATATGGCGAACTGGAGTTGTTTGATCCCCAGGTC